TTTCTCAACCTTTTCTATACCAAGGAGCAGTTCACATTAAACTGTGCAGTACAGTACAATCACACTGATGTTTCTCAACCTTTTCTATACCAAGGAGCAGTTCACATTAAACTGTGCAGTACAGTACAATAACACTGATGTTTCTCAACCTTTTCTATACCAAGGACCATTTCACATTAAACTGTGCAGCACAGTACAATCACACTGATGTTTCTCAACCTTTTCTATACCAAGGACCATTTCACATTAAACTGTGCAGCACAGTACAATCCCACTGATGTTTCTAAACCTTTTCTATACCAGGAACCGGTTCACTGACTCCCTAGACTTTTGCAAACAACAATGAATTGCAATTATGGTTCATCTATGAACATTCTGACAGTTTTGTTTGTTTTTGTGAAATCCCATGAAGCGACAAGGTGGTTGTGATAAACAGGCATCGGTCCCCTAAACTGGTGGTTGAGAAACACTGAACTAGAATACACCCGTGTGGCAAATACTGGTCATGTACATTGTCAACAACATTCAAAACAGATATAAAAAGCTAAGAAACTAAGCAAATTGTAAATTTAATGAGTTTGATTAATCTAGCAAAAAACTATACAAGTTAAATAAACCTTTACAAGTAGTCCCCTAGACAGTAGATTGGGTTGAATGTAAATAGACACAGCTGGTGTTTAACTCAAAAAAAGTGGCATGAATTGCTTCTCAATAAATATAATTATATCGTAATAGAAAAACACCTTTGGTAGCAACAGCAAGTATCAGAACCGAGAAGTTATGTGCTGGATAAGTATTAGAAAACATAAAATAATGAGGACTTATGTGCTTGTTAAGTACCAGAAATACATATAAAAAGGAAGACTTGTGTGATGGGTAAGGACCAGAAATACATATAAAAAGGAAGACTTGTGTAGTGGGTAAGTAACAGAAATACATATAAAAAGGAAGACTTGTGTAGTGGGTAAGGACCAGAAATACATATAAAAAGGAAGACTTGTGTAGTGGGTAAGTAACAGAAATACATATAAAAAGGAAGACTTGTGTAGTGGGTAAGGACCAGAAATACATATAAAAGGGAATACTTGTGTAGTGGGTAAGTAACATAAATACATATAAAAGGGAAGACTTGTGTAGTGGATAAGGACCAGAAATACATATAAAAAGGAAGACTTGTGTGCTGGGTAAGTACCAGAAATAAAACAGCCTGTGTACCGGGTAATTTGACTTATGTTATTATAACTTTATTTCCTATTGGTGGCTACCTATAGATAAAAACAAAAGTCTGATGACAAACAGATAAAAATTCCTGTAAACCTATCAAGTCCCGAAAAGATTAAAACAACTCCAGTGAATTGAAATTTCTGAGTGCTAAGGATGACTTACCAGAGATAAGGTTTTTTATTCTTCCAAAAATAAAAACATATAGTATACATGTGTGCTCAACCAACCTGTTTATTCTGTAGTGCAGTCTGCCAGCGCCACCTACGGTAGAATGCTTGAGTGAAACTACTGTGGGTTAGGAGAGAATGCAGTGCCTTTCTCAAAGTTAGAAGTCTGTCATGAAATCCCCACATTCCTTCAAAGGACAAACAACAATTATAATCATTCTTGAAAAAAATACAAAAAGCCATAAGTTTCATTATATCAACTGAGAAAAATAATCTAAGTTAGCCAATAAAGTATCCTTCTGGAAAGTTCTCTATTAATGCTGAAACCTAAGAATTGGTTTCCACTATAATATATTGTTTATCTTTTTCAAATATTTTTGAAAGGCTGTAATTCAGCTAATTAGAGCCTAAAGTTCAAAGCTGTTTGTTTCATGACTTCATAATACTAAGACTACGTGGATACACATACTATTTTTCCTAAGCCAATGTTTTCCAAACTTTAAACAGCAGTGCCCCTAACTCAGAAAAGTTTCTGTTGCATCCTCCCTTCACATTAAAATAATTTTCACAAGTGATAACAACAAAATCAACATTTTCTACACCTGTTTTTAATAAATTTTTTAAATGAAAAAAATCCTTGTAAGGAGTTTGTAAATACAATAGCAAAACAAAAAAAAAAGCTTTGAGAGTAAAGTGATAGTTTTGTTAGGTTATCATCGTCTCCAACTCTTTTGTTTCTTACGTCGTTATTTTATGGCTCTCCCACCAAAAGGCCGTGGATCACAAGGTTCGTCAAATTAGCTAAACCTATAATAGAAGGGTTAATGAACAAAATCTAATATTGCAAAAATATTCAAAGTTGCTTCAAGACTAATAATGAAATAATTTTTTTACATTAGTCTCTTTTGATATCCTGCACAAATCCAACAATTTCTTACAAGATAATCTGTATCAGACATTGCAGGCTATTCAGAGAATACTTAAAAAATGAAAAAAGGCTTATTAAAGGTTTTTTTTAAATCTGTAATATTTTGTTGGATATAAATAACCTTTCAAAACAACTTAATTCTCTCTCTCTCTGCAGGCTCAGTCCCAGAAACTGACCTAGTAACCATTTTGTGCTTGTTATAGTTTTCATACTATAACTTTTAATACAGTAAGCGTATTTTCAAGAAATTTTGCAGATTATCAGTAAACTTTACAAGGCTTTCTTACACAAAATAAGTAATGATTTTCTCTTGCATTTTTTCTTTTAGAATGTTAACTATCCAACATACAAAGTAATTTTGATTTTAAGATTAAAATACTTTTATGCATCAGAAAATTGTCAAATTTCACATGCAAAACCTTTATAACTTCCAGATAATTATCAAACGTTTTTTAAGAAAAAAATTTATACTTTATCTGTTATTTTCACTATTGTATCTCTGTATGGGTTTGGTCAATTTGACCAACCTTGTAACCACCAAATTAAGAAGTAGATATAAATTATACTTTTTTCGTCCTAGAATGAGTACAAATTATAACAAGATACCACAAATATTTAGTCTAAATAGCTTAAACCTCATAATATTAAACATCTATATATATATATAT